AACACAATATAACCTTATTTTAACAAGCAATATCATTTTATATTGATTGGTGTTAGGCAACTTAGTTCATAGGTAAAGGTCAAATGTAATAAAGGAGGGGAAATTATTTTTTGTTTGCAGAAGTGAGTATAAAAACAGCAGGTCTATTACCTAAATCACTATTAATGGGTTACAAAATGACAGAAATTAAGTTTTATTTCCTCAGAAGAATATCTCATACTCATGGTCTAGAATAAATCCAGCTTGACTCTCATTTTTCTTATAATTGACCTGTTAATGCATCACAAGCTGTCAAAGGGAAGACAAGTGCCCCCTCCCACAGTGGTCCCTTTGACCTGGCCCAAGTGGGGACAGAGATATTCACTTACCCTTTCCAACTAGACTTGTATTCCAGTTTCAGCCCTGCCACTAATCTGCATTGTGATTCCTGTGTTTTAAGCAATCTTCATCTATGGCTAATAATAACTTCAACTCACCTCACAGAAATGGAGTAAGGAGAAAACAATTTATGTGGAAATTCTTTGAAAAGCTGAAAAGCCAAATATACATATAGATATCATTTTCAAAAAGACCCCAAATTACTCAATATCTGACTTCAAGCTTAGGAGAAAGCTTCTCATTTCCTTTTTAAGCCTAATTGGCACAAAAGAGAAAATGTACCTCACTTTGAATTTTCTCCTATACTTCAGGCACATGGCTTGAAGAAGCTTTTTGTCCACAGCTGCAAATTCATAAGGTTGAAAGAGCAAATCTAATTTACATTCCAAGTCAGGGGCATAAAGATGAGAAGAACAGAAAATGTTACTGAAACTCCCCTGATCTCCAAGGGGATACTGAAAAGGACCAAATAAGATGGTAACTGCCACTGTACAACCCATCAGACCCCTACAGGGAACCAGGGTCAGTTTGAAATTGGATGACAGAGTGGATCATTCAATGCTACCTAAAGCTGATCTAGAAGCAAAGTTACTATAATTGAGATAGAAATTACACAAATTTTGCTTCAAGGATAAGACTTGTCTCCATGAAGTTTCCTTTGCCTGGAAGAATCCTTTCCTCTTGGCTTTGTTATGTTTTAGGTCTGTCTTAAGGTCTTTCCGATGAACCACCAACCCCAACCCAGTTCAGACCTAGTGTAACAACTCAAAGCACCCTGCACTTCTCCATCATAAGCATTGATCACTGGGTTATCAATTCATTATTTCGACTGTTTGATTAATGTCTGTTTTTCTGGCCCCTCTCACAGTAAGCTCCCTGAGGACAGGGAAAGGCTTGATTTCATAATATCCCCAGAGTGGAGAGAATATAACTCAGAATAGGCCCTCATTAAATATTTATTGGATGAGTGATGAAAGAAATATGATCTGAAAAGAACTCCACAGCAGATTTTCTCAGATCACAGATCATTTCTAGGTAGACACATTTACACAAACATACACAAAACCCTTAATTTATTGTTGCTCAGGGAGGACATATTGCAAATGAAGGGAAACCATAAAGTAAAGAGGATTAATAAAGCAATTATAATAATTTATTTTTTGAATATTTATTTTTTAAATGTAGTTGAACACAATACTTTTATTTCACTTATTTATTTTTATGTGGTGCTGAGATAGAACCCAGGGTCTCGCACATGCTAGGCGAGCGCTCTACCACTGAGCCACAACCCCAGCCCAATTATAATAATTTATTAGTAAGGAACTATGTTGCACATCCTAAATAAGAGGTTCTTGTGGACTAGATAACTTACAGAGCCCAAACCATCCATGCCTAGAGGTGACATGAAAAGGGCAGGACTATTGCTACCCAGGCTTGATGTCAATAGACATCAGAAAGATTTTACTTCTGCCCCAGTGTCTTGTGATAGAACAGAAGGTTGCACAATGGAGCCACTCAGTCTTTCTTAAACTATCAGAACAGCTCCCAATGACACTGGTAAAATAGTCTCCAATTTTGCTATGCTCTGTTTACATTTGTTTGTTCTAAAAAGTTGAAAATTTAGCTAATTTGCCATTCATTCACATGAATAAATCAGGAGGAAAAATTTTCAAAAAATATCATTCGAGTGCTATAGCAAGGTAAAGCAATTAATGTTTCTAATTTTTATAAAACCATACTCTAAGAGACTGTGCTTTTTTGGATAAAGGTCAGTCCTCTCCCACTATCTGTTGTTTTTTTTCCCCTTGCAGTCACTTATTAGCATAATTTTGTGCAATTTGTAACATAATACACTGTGGTTTTTTTCCCCTATGAAACATATAATTAAATTCCATCTTCCTAAGTGGTTTGAATTTGTGACTTTCTGGGAGCTAAATATACCCTATTCATTTCTATGTTAGATATAAAGAAAAGAATAAGGATGCTGAGTAATAAAGACCATGGTTTTTCTGGGGCTTTTATGCTATAGGATTTCTTTTCTTTCCTTCAAAAGGTAGAACACAATAAATTACATTGCAAGTAAAACTGAATTAAGTGAAACAGAGATCAGAGAATAAAGAGACGCCAGTTTCTGTGCAGGAGCTTTAATGGATGATGCTTTGGGACTATCAATTTGGTAGAAAAAAATTAAAAATCCATTCCTTACTCATTTTGTAGATCTCATCCTTTTCTTTGTTTTCATATAACTCTGCTCAATATTTTATTTTATATCAGATCTATGTTCTTCTGTATCCTAATATTCTGCAAACAAATTCTAACTCCTTAAAGGCAAACAGAAATAAAATAATTTAAATGCTGTCATTTTGTACTTCCAAGATAACAATAAGCAAGGCACTTTCTTTGGTGTATCATCAGCCATACAACTCCCTTAACATTGCTTCTGCTAGTCCTGGCAGAAATCCTTAAAAAAAAGAAAACCAGATAATAAAAACCCAGAGATATAAAAATTTTTTTCAACCGCACAAAGTCCATCTCAATCTACTAACTGCCCTTATCACTGAGATTGTTTGGCATTCATTAATTTTATTTTTGCTTTGGGAAAGTAAAATCCAACTTTGCAAAGAACAAGTCATGATGAAAGAGGAAACCGTCATTTGTTTCTCTCTGTGGATTCTCGCCCTAATTCCATTTAATTGAAGCTGGTGGTGCTGACCTGGGATTATTCCATGCTAGGGACCAGTCAATTTCTTCCTCTATTATGGTAAGCATTTAGCAGTTTCCCTAATATAGAAAATGTTAGGTGTAAATGAAGCAGAACAGTGGGTGAATGGAATAATGCTACAATTTTCACTGTATTAAAATGAGTCACTTTCATCTCCTTATCTTACTATAATTTAAAAGTGCTGTCAATCAAGCTCTACAAAATAGGGTTAAGGCCATAGTACAAGGAAGTTGATGATGGTGCAGAGAAACCTTTCAGCTTCAGAAGAGCTTTAAAGGGGAGGGGGGATTTGCTATGCTCAAGTAAGCATAGGTTATGAAGTGTCCTGAGTCAGCCTATTCCCCATGAGGAGAAAACATCATTTTGGAGTGTGAGGAAAAATAAGGTGTTCCCATAAACAGAAATATTTGAAATGTTTTCATTTCGGCTGTGTCTATCAACACCCCCTCCCAGCCCGACTTTCTGGGTCCATTACTTTGTTAAAGAGATATAGCTTGACTTGGAGAGAAATCTTTACTTTTTTCTGACCCATAGTTGAATCTTGTCTCTTTATTTTTTCTTTGCTTTTGCTTTTTTCTCACAATGACTTTGGCACAATCCCTTTGGTGGCTCTTCAAAGGGTCCTCATGTTTAAAAGATGAGGGAATAATGTCTACTTCAGATTGCCTAAGTGTGGCAAGCTCCTGGCTTCTCTATGGTGTGGCTCTCTATGGGGTAGGTGCGCTTTGGTTCCGTGATCACAGTAACTGCTATTCTTCCTATGTGCTTCCCCAGGGAGTGGTGAGTGATAAGGAAAAGTAAATTCTGCCCATGTGCTAAGTGGAAGCACAGTCTTCCTTTAAAATCCAACTTTGCAAACAAGAATAACCTTGAAAAAGCCCCTTTAGACGCAGATCAATGCTCAGGAATGTTGCCAACCACTTTCAGCTCCACTTTGACAATTCACAGATATTCATGCTCCGGAGGTACCTCCTTGCACCCCACAAGTCAAGTCCCTGCTTTACGCTTCAAGTGCAGTGGGGATTTGTTGGATAAGCCGCTGGGGGGAAAAAAAAAAAAAAAAAAAAACTTCTCTCTTCTCTCCTTGATCAATTCGGGTCACCTTGACAGAGTGTCCCTCTGGGGCTACTTCTGTGGTGTGGTGACCTGCACCACTCCAAGGTATTCTCTACCTGCTCTGGAGGTTTCCTGGGGGTCCCGGCTCCCCAACACCCTTGACCTGCCTGAAAGCAGACTCTCCGGAGGGCCCCAAACCCAAAATCTAAAATGGCAGTGGGAATGCACTAGCCGTTAAAGGGCATCATCCATTTTTAATCAGAAAGATCACAAGAAAGATGGTAAGTGAATCCCAGTCGCAAGTCAATTTAAATATCATTCCTGGGGAAATTCAATCACTTAAAACTGACACACCTACGCTTGTCAGAGCCCCCGCCCAGTCTGGCAAGGAAGAGCGCGACGGCTGAATTAATCAAGATCAAGGGGCTCCCCGGTTGAGAGCGGAGTGTTAACCCTTTCAATTCTGGAGAGAGACAAGGCAGAGGAGTAAAAGCACAGGCGGACAAGACCAAGATGCCCAGGACTGCCCTGTGCAGGGCGCCTCTGCCATTTGGAGCCACTCCGGACTCCTCGCGCTTGGCCTGGGTGGCTGGGCTAAGATCAGAAGCTCCGGAGGCTGCTCAGGCGGCAAGAAACAGCCTCCTCCCGCAGCCTTGGCGCGCCTCGGGCTCCTCCTCCCGCCCAAACGTGGCCAAGTGAGGACTGCTCTGGCCTCAGGAAGCTGAGGAGCTGGAGGCAGCGCGCGCGGAACCCGAACGGAGCTCCAGGGAGGGGCTCACGGACTCGCGGACAAGCGGATCCCTTAGCCTCCGGTCTCGGACATTAGCAGAGGCCTGAGTGGGCCATGTGGGTACCCGGGGTCACCGCTGAAGGCCTGTCGGTGGCGCCAGCGCCGCCGTCTCTGCTGCCCCTGCTGCTGCTACTGGCGCTGGCGCTGGTGGCGCCCTCGCGGGGCGGCGGGGGCTGCGCGGAGCTGGCGTGTGGTGAGCGGGAGCGCTGCTGCGACTCGGCCAACGCCACGGCGGTGCGCTGCTGCAAGCTGCCGCTTCACGCCTTCCTGGACAATGTAGGCTGGTTTGTCCGCAAGCTCTCAGGGTTGCTCATCCTGCTTGTGCTCTTCGCCATCGGCTACTTCCTGCAGCGCATCATTTGCCCCAGCCCACGCAGGTATCCGCGTGGCCAGGCAAGACCGGGGCCCCCAGGGAGTGTCGGGCCCCCAGGGAACACAGGACCACCAGATGACGACAACGACGACTCGCCCACTCTACTGCGTGACGAGGCAGCCACCGGCTCACAGGACTCGCTGCTAGACAGTGGCTGCAGCGGCCGTGGCCGGGGAGGCGGCGGCCGTTTGGCCCCCTCCTGCACCTCGGAGCACGAGCTGCGTGTTGTTTCTCCGGTCTTCCTGCAGCTGCCCAGTTACGAAGAGGTCAAATACCTGCCCACATATGAAGAGTCCATGCGCCTGCAGCAGCTCAGCCCAGGAGAAGTGGTGCTGCCGGTGTCTGTGCTCGGCCGCCCCCGAGGCGGCGGAGCCGGGGACCCAGACTGCGGCGCCGGCCGCTTCCCGCTCATCTGAGCGCCCAGGTTCTCTCCAGGACCCTGCGGACTTTGTGAGACTGGGGGCTGCGAGTAGCCATGAGGGCTGGTGTGCTCGCGGCCGTCACTAACTGCCTCTCACCCTGCCTAAGAACTCCAGCCTAACTTTCTGTCGCCCAGAGACTGGGTTGGGGTCATCCCTCTCTCTTATGCTCCCCCCCACACCCCCGATCTTAAATTTCCCTGTGTTTCATTCGGTTCAAGGAGACATTGGCGGGGCGGAAGCAGCGAAGGACCACCCAACGCAACTTCAAAGGACGTCCCCGCCCTCTGCCTTGCCTCCTCTTGTGTTCACTCTTAAGTGCCTGCTTCCCTAATCAAAGAGAACACGTGAGCCTTTTGCCCTTTGGAAGAAGGGCGGTTTTCTTTAAGGTCGAAGAGAAAGGGGCACATTTTCACTCCTTTCGCTCCTGCCTGGACATTTCACTATCTCCCAGGATGGGCAGAGGGCTAGAAGTCGTTGGCGACAGGCACGACCAGTGACTGCTTCGCGCTGGCCTGGGAGAGTTACACTTGAGTATGATGAAATCCCTTTCTTTTGAAGGACCCAGAAAACCCTTCAGTGTCTTCCTGGACAAGCAAATAGTTGCAGCTGATGGCTCACAATTAGGTGGGGAGGTACCTATGATATATGGTTGTTTCGTTAGTTGCTGTACGTACTCAAGATACAACTACTTTTATTAAGACTGTGTTCGTAATATGGTACAGTTGGACTTTTGATTTTTCAATAACTGAGAAGGTATATTTTCCTTTTATTTTTATATTTTTGCCATGTATTTAACAGGAGGGCATTTCAACAAAGACAATAATTGTCTTAATCACTTTTTTTAGGCTATTAATAGTCAAGAAATTGCCCACATTCTGTCTTTATTGTTTAACAAATGTTTGGACATTATTTCATTAAGGGTGAAAAAGAGAGAGAGATGGTCAAATGAGGAAACATGTAACATAAAAATATGAAGGATATCTTATTTTCACTATTTGAGAATATATTTTATTTTTAGTACCGTGGCATAATATATAACTTTTTATAATAACTGTGTGTACATCATGTAGTCTAGGTCTTTACTAACGTAGATCATTCATTACATAGTTACGTGTAAAAATAATTGATGCATAAATGCCATACCATAAAGCATGATGTCACACACTTTTTCTTCATTTTTTTTTAAAATTTGGGGAACCTCCACAACGTGATACAAAAACAAAAGATCCTGAGACTTGTAATTTTTGTTTAAAGCCATAATTGTATGGTAATGTGCTTCAGATGGATTTAGCCAACTATCTTAAGGGGAAAAGAGTGTCATATTTATGCTACCATTCTGTGACATGTCTTTTAAGAAAAGGTAACAGTTTAATGTGTTGTGTATAATGTACATATACATATTATGTACAGTATATACATCAAATACTATATAACAGTTTGTAATTAGCATGAAAGGAAAACAAATACAAAGGTTTCTTTGGAGAAGGGTGATTATCCATATGGATCTAGAATATTGTTCTCATGATTGAAGAAGTTGGACAATTCTGAGAAATCTTAAAATATCCGACTTACATTAGAATAAAAATGATTTGACTACTGTAAAGTTTAAAAGCTGGTTTAAATAATCTGAAATTTCTGGGAAATTTTTAAATGTCTGAATTGTAATAGAATGGTTTACTTTAAACTTCTAAAAATGAACGACCCTATCATTAAATAAAAAATCATTTGAAGTGTATTAAAACAGAAAAACATTAAAATATTTGTGCAAAGTTCATCAGATGTGTGACTATATGTAATGTATTAAAATATAAAGTATGTCCCTATGTCATTTAAAAGCAATTTTAAGCTGTAAGTTGGCAAAAACATCAGGAGTTGGTACTATATCAGTTGAGAATAGTATAAGACTTAGTATAATCACACCATATGGTTATATTAAATAATCACATACATTAATGTTACTCAAATATGGTAAATTTTGTTACATGTGGCTATCAATACCACTACCCCAAACAACCTGGAAAGTTCCCATATTCTTTCAAATGATTTATTCTTTGAGGGTACACTGTTTCAGACATTTCCTAAAATTCACTTGTATCTAAAACATTAACCTAAATATCCAAGTGCAAATATATAAAGCATAGCCTATATGTTACTACCAATATTTAAAGAAATTTACAATTCTAGGTAAAATGTACTTCAATATGAGTCAAGTATGTTTTCCTTTCTCTTCCTTAAATCCAGAATGTCTATAAAGTGGTAATTCCACTTTATATCAATCAGACAATGAGGTTCTATGGAATAGATTTTTACTTATTCAACCCCACAAACTTATTCACATCCATTCAGTAGAAAGGAATTTGATTCTACTGTGGTTTTTTCTTACAATTCATTGATTTACCAAGTATAAACTTGTTAAATAATTTTGTGAAAAAAAATCTTAACAATATTTTTATTAGTGCTAAGTGAGCATGTCTCAGAGTAATATACATACACATATAACAGGCCATATTAACACACATCAAACCTCTGTGTTTGTTATGCTGAAATACCTGAATAGAAATATTTTAAAGTATTAAAGGCAGCATCTGGGTGTTTGGTTTTACAAATTTTACCTGGAAGTTATTTATTATATGGTCAGAATCTATTATATATAATTGCATGTGCTTGTTAATATAGAAAGTGATTATTCTGTTACTTGATAAAAATTCATGTTGAGATGCTGATTCTACCTATATTTAATATTCTATATATAGTTAAGAATATGTTTTGCAACTATATATAGAAAAACATTAATTTATTGTCTCAAATAAATGGAATTAATATGGAAAATAAGTTTAATTTTAAGGGCATATATATCTTAACCAAACCTACATGGAAATGACATGTTCTCCAGTACTTTCCTCTTGATTTTCACTTATCAAAGTAATTCAAATATAAAAACATTTTTGAGTACATTTAATTTTCACTGACTTTTCATAAGTAGGAAAATAATCTTGAATGGAAGAAAACATGATTGGTTTTATAAATTTATGTACTATAAATGTGTGTGTGAGTGTGTGTGTGTGTCTTTGTGTCTGTGAGTGTAATCATCAGTTGCTTAAAAGCTATTTGCTATGGGTGTTCAATCTCATAACCAAGGAGAAAATATCATCTTGAAATGGAATAAGTTTTAAGAGGCCTCTAATTGTCACATTCTGCAAATGTGAGTGTGTTTCAACCACAGAAAATGGCACTGGCAATTATTCCAAAGGATATGATGTGTACTATATAAGTAAAACAAGATTCAATTGTAAAGGCCAAAGGGAATATTAAGGAAATGGTCTTACTTAACCATTTAAGAGGCAATATGCTAAGTATCTTAATGTTGTACTTTTATGTATATAGTTTCTCTCAAGTGGAATTCATAAAGGAAATGATTTAAAGCTGAAACTGATATGTTATAAACACAAATAGGAGATTCAGATTTATACAGTATTCTGCATTGACTTTTATAAAAATTCATGAATTATAAATAATTTGTATTTTTAAGGTTGAGAGTAACAATGATATCATATTGAGTTTTCTTTTGAGCAACAAGCTTGACCATCTCTCCCAAAAGTTGTCAGAAACCATTCAGTAGCAGAATATTTGGCAAGTTTATATCTGATTTCACAATGATACAATTTATTTTTTCATTCTCCTTTTATCCATTAATGAAAAAACTAACAACCAATAGAGTAAGGGAAGGTATTTTTATTAACTGAAGAATGAGCCAGCAATCAGCTAATTACAAAAAAGCAAAACATCCTTTCTTCCATATGGTTGACACCAGAAAAGTTACTATTCCTTTTTTAAATATTTGCCTATAAAAAATATTAAAAATATCAAATTACAGGCCCATGCCTGTAATCTCAGCAGCTCACAAGAGTGAAGCAGGAGTATGGCAAGTTCAAAGCCAGCCTCAGAAAATTAGGAAGGCCCTAAGCAATTTAGCAAGACCCTGTCTCTAAATAAAAAATAATAAGGACTGGGGATATGGCTCAGGGGTTAAGCACCCTTGGGTTCAATCTATGGTACCAAATTAATTAATTAATTAATTAACTAATCAAATGTCAGATAAAATCAATACTTTCTTTAAACTTAAATAAATATTGAATCTAATTTTATTTACATAATTCATTTTTAACTTAATGGAAAAATTGTAGGGATATTTATGCTTTTCACCAAACTATATCATTTTTCTTCTTCAACTTCTTTGCTAAGTATCTACATTATTTTGATTTCTTGCAATTCTTATATTCTTTATGTGTTGTTCTTATCCTGCTTTGGATTTCAGTAGTTTTTCCTCAGAAACACATCTCCCTGCTGTGATTCAATATCATTTTGGTTATGCTTCACTCTTTGAATAGAATTTCTTCTTTTGGTAAATCAGTATTTTCCAGAGTGTTTCCTTTGTTTTCCATTTGCATCTGACTTCTGGAGATTTTTCATTTTGAGGCAGGTAGGTTTCTCCTGCATTCACTAAAGGACTGTAAACACTTTTTCTTTGTTTTTAACCTATAGAATTTTCCCTGTAGCTCTGGGAAAAGGATAGAATATTTACATCCCTCTAATGAAGATTTTTTTCCATATCTGAAACATAATAAAATCTACATTTATTGATTACTACATCTTCATTGTTCTGCTTCCTCACCTAGATTTTCATGAAGATATTGTCAACACTTTTCCCTAAGCTTCCCTAAAAGATGTTTTTCCAATATGTTAGGACAAAGAATTAAATCCTTGCATTCTAATAATAACAGGGACCTTATTTTGGCTTCCAAACCTTAGGCACATTATTTCTTTATGGACTGCTATATCTTTCTGGTCAATTTTTCTCACAGTCATCTTTGTGTCATTTTATCTGAGTAATGGTCATCTGCTGTCTCCCCATCCTTGTTCACAAATACCCTATTTGTTCTACTAGATAAATGACCATATCATTCTAACTTTACAGAGGAGACTTTAAGACTCTAGACT